ATATTAAATTTTCTGAGAGGTTACTTTTATTAAATTTGTGTTTACAGTGTTATACATTGCCAAAAACCATATTTTTAGGCCAATCCTTAAATTCCATCTTTTGAGACACTTATTTAAGTGACCACCTATTTCTAAGATGTCTGAGATGATCCGCAGTGTTACACTGGAACATGAAAATAAACAACTGTTCTCCCCCTAGGGATGTAAATTTAAGTTGTATTATCAACCGATACAGTTAGAAAAGTTGACATGTTAAGTCAGGGATGTAAATTTAAGTTGAATTATTGTACCGGTACAGTCAGGAATGTAAATTTATATTCAATTATTGTACCGGTACAGTTAGGGGTGTTGAATTGTACAGTCAGGGATGTAAATTTAAGTTGTATTATTGTACTATTATAGTTTGAGATGTTGACATGTACAGTCAGGGAGGTAAATTCAAGTTGTATAATCGACCGGTACAGTAAGGGATGTTGACATGTACAGTCAGGGATGTAAATGTAAGTTGAATTATTCTACCGGTACAGTTAAGAATGTTGAATGTACAGTCAGGGATGTAAATTTAAGTTGTGAATATTGTACCGGTACAGTTAGGAATGTTGAATGTACAGTCAGGGATGTAAATTTAAGTTGTAAATATTGTACCGGTACAGTTAGGAATGTTGAATGTACAGTCAGGGATGTAAATTTAAGTTGTGAATATTGTACCGGTACAGTTAGGGATGTTGACCTGTACAGTCAGGGTTGTAAATTTAAGTTAAATTATTGTACTGGTACAGTTAGGGATGCTGACATGTACAGTCAGGGATGTTAATCTTGAAAGTCAGGGATGTAATTAAAGTTTTAATATTGTACCGGTACAGTTAGGGATATTGACGTGTACAGGCAGATGTTACTCTTGAAAGTCAGGGATGTAAATTTAAGTTGTATTATTGTACTGTTCCAGTTAGGGAAGTTGACCTGTACAGTCAATTGTACTGTACCAGGTAGGGATTTAAATTTAAGTTGAATTATTGCAGCGGTACAGTCAGGGATGTTGAACTGTACAGTCAGGGATGTTAATTTAAGTTGCATTACTGTACCGGTACAGTTAGATATATTGATCTGTACAGTCAGGGATGTACATTTAAGTTGTATTATTGTACAGTTACAGTTAGGGATGTTGACATGTACAGGAGAACCCCCATGGACAAAAATATCACAACAAGGTAACAAAGATATAAAACTAATATTGCTAAGTATGAGAGAATTAATTAAACATATTAATTAAATGTACATAGATAAGAGGAAGCATAAATATCATGCAAAACTGTTGGGTGACCAAAAGCACATGGCTATATACATATATATGCGAGTGTAGCTAAGTGTAAAAATTTACCGAATAAGCACTTATATAGTACAATTTAAAATACATACATACTTAAATTTACGTCCCTGCCTGTACAGGTCAACATCCCTTACTGTAACAGTACACTACTATAACTACAATTGACATATCTTACTGTAGCAGTACACTAATATAACTTAAATTTGCATCCCTTATTGTTTAAGTAAAACAATTTACATAGCTGACTGTACAGGGTGGTTATATCGTTTCATAAGCAAAGCGAACGCGCCTCGGTACAGTGAAGTCCTTCCGGTACAGGCAAGTACCTGAACATGCGCGGATGTAGGCTGACAGACTCTACTCTCAAGTATGGCAACTTGTGTCAACATGATGATCAGACGCAAATCCATAGGCCTACCACAGACTTCAGGACGATAAATGAATGAGAGGTTAGCCTAATATTTGCTAAATATGTTACCTTCTTTAAATAAAGTTATTAATATTATTATTATTACGATAAATAGGCACAGAGTGCTAAAAAAGTAAAACCCTTCCTAAACTACCTTTAAACTACTAGTTATTTAATTTCATATATATAAAGAGAGGGAGTGATATTAAGTTTCATTTAAATGAGATTTGAATATCTAAATCTCTATTTCGATTACAAAATCACCAAATAAAGATGTACTTTTAAAACATTTTTTTTTTTTTTTTTAATATCATTGCGTGTAATAAATTATTTTCAGGTATTTAAATAACTTGATTTATCTTTAATATGAATGCAATATTAATGTTTAACGTTTATTTAAACTAGTGTTATAAGAATGCTCTGAGCGTGGCGGACAGCTACACCTGTATAATGTAATCCCGCCCAACATAGTATCAATACGAATTGAGATGAGATCACCTGTGTTTTTCAAAAATAAAATGCTGTTTACTCAGTGGGTGTAAGGAGGCTCCACCCTTTCGCAATTAACCAGCAGAATTCAATGAAAGTTTCATATAATGGTTATGTCACTATGTGGAGATGATTTTATGAAAATCTAAGCATTCCGATAAACTGGGGACTTTTTTGTAAAAAATACCGAAAAATTGATTTTTTGTCAAATTCAACACTTTCACATATTTTGAGTGTGTGGCATTGTTCAAAACTAGTACAACAATAAAATAATGAAAATAAACATTGCTAATCAACTGATGAATAGGAAATGGGGGTTCTACGCCACTTTATCCCTCCCTCTATATTTATAGTAAATCCCTCCCTGACGGGAGGGATCAGTGAGGAACCATTGAGGGATGAGAGACTGACCCCATGACCTTGTGAGGGATGAGGGACTGACCCCATGACCTTTTATAGGAATTCCCTCTCAAAATAAATTGAATACCCTAAAGGGAACATGGAGTGACGAGGGATTACCTTGTGTCAAGTCTATGTTTAGAGAAACCGGTTGGTCCGCTTCTATATTGCGGTATCGTAGTTATTTAAGCCCAGTGTGGGTTTTCCTAATTTGTGTATATAAGACACCTTTACTTACAAAATGCGTTATCAGTTGAAGTTTAAGTCTCAAATAAATGACCTTGAATCATATTCAACGTCACAGGGGTCAAATATGTTTAAAACCATTAAGCAACTTCTTCTGAATAACCAAGAGGCCTAGGGTGATGACAGTTGGCCAGTAACATGCTGAAATGAAGGGCTACCAAGTTTGTTCAAATAAATTACCTTGATTAATATTCAAGGTCACTGGGGTCAAATATGTTTAAATCTTTAAACAGCTTCTTTTGAATAACCGAGAGGTCTAAGGTGATGATATTTGGCCAGTTACATGCTGGTTTGAAGGGCTACCAAGTTTGTGCAAATAAATGATCTTGACTTATATTAAAGGTCACAGGGGTCAAATAGGTTTAAAACATTTAAAAAACTTCTTCTGAATACCTAGGAGGACTAGGGTGCTTAAATTTTGCCACTAATATGCTTGGAGGAAGGGCTACCAAGTTTGTTCAAACAAATGACCATTATCCATTTTCAAGGTCACAGGGGTCAAATATGTTAAATTTATAAACAACCTCTTCTTAATAACCCAGAGGCCTAGCGTGATGATATTTGGCCAGAAGCAAACTGGAATGAAGGGCTACCAAGTTTGTTCAAATGAATGACCTTTACTTATATTCAAGGTCACAATTGTCAAATATGTGTAAAACATTTTAAACAACTTCTTCTCAATAGCCAAAAGGCCTAGGATGACGCTGTTTTGGCCAGTAGCATGCTGTGATGAAGCGCTACCAAGTTTGTTCAAATGAATAACCTTGACAAATATTAAATGTCACAATGGTCAAATACGTTTAAAGCCTTTAAACAACTTTTTTTTCTGAATAATTAAGAAGACTAGGTTTATGATATTTGGCCAGTAGCATGCTGGAATGAAGGGCTACCAGGTTTTTTCAAATGAATGACCTTGACATATATTCAAAGTCACAGGTGTCAAATATGTTAAAAATATTTTAACGAATTCTTCTCAATAACGAAAAGGCCTTGGATGATGATATTTGGCTAGTACCATTATCACAGGGGTCAACTTTGTTTCAAACCTTTAAACAACTTCTCCTGAATACCCAAGAGGCCTAGAATAATGATATTTGACCAGTATCATGCTCAGATGAAGGGCTACTAAGTTTGTTCAAATAAATGACGTTTAACTATTTTCAAGGTCACACGGTTCAAACATATGAAAAACCTTTAGCAACTTCTCAATAATCAAAAGGCCTAGGATGATGATATTTTGTCAGTAGCATGTTGGGATGAAGGGCTACAAAGTTTATTCAAACAAACGACCTTCACCCATTTCCAAGGCCACAAGCGTAAAATAGGTTTCAATTCATTAAAGAACTTCTTCTGAATATCCAAGAGGCATAGGCTAATGATATTGGGCCAGTCACATACTGGGACGAACGGCTACCAATTTTGTTCAAATGAATGACCTTCTTCTATTTTCAAGGTCACAGATGACAAATATGTTTAAAACTTTTAAACAACTTCTTCACAATAACAAAAAGGCCTTGGATGATGATATTTGACCAGTAACATGCTGGGATGAAGGGCTCCAAAGTTGTTTAAACAAATGACCTTCATCTATATTCAAGGTCACAGGGATCAAATATGTTAAAATCTTTAAATTACTTGTTCTCAATATTCAAAAGGTCCAGGGTAATGATATTTAGCCAGAAGTATGCTGAGACGGAAGGCTATAGACTCTGTTCAACTTAATGTCATTGTTCGACTTTCAAGGTCACAGGCGTCATATGTTTAAATCATTTAACAGATTCAAATGAATCGAACACAGATATTTTGCCTTTAGCTGTATATTAGTCCACTTTTAAGATTACAAAAGTGAGATTAATACCAGGTGAGCAATTCAGGCCCATTGGGCCTCTTGTATATTATTCTGAGTCTAGTTGTAACACAATAAAATATATTTCCAGTATGTTTAGGATGCTTTTGATTACATTTACTTATTCACAGTCGCCCAACTACAATACTGCAAACACTGAACGCCTTATATCAAGGTATTCATAATGCAATTATTTTAACATCTTAACTACAAGAGACATAGCTGTCAGACTGAAAGGTGAAACAGACACCAACGTCGGACGGGTGGTGGTTTTCTATTCTGGTATGTGGGGATCAGTGTGTGCTGATCCAAACTGGGATTACAAGGAGGCAAATGTCACCTGCAGAATGCTTGGACACAGGTAAGCATGATACAAAACACTCACACGAACGATGCATCAAGTTTACATATACTTTATGAATACAAAAACGACATTTCAAACGTGAGCGGGATAAATGAATATACGTATTAGGTTCAATTATAAACAAGGGTGACATTCAAGAGAAGAACAACAGAAGAAATGTTACCAAAGCCGTCAATCGAACACGAAATAACAAGAGCAAAAAGGTAAACAACGGAATTATAAACAAGGAAGCCCTTGAACAGTACAAAGAGTTTAGAACCAGTGTTCATGAAAGGTTATTGACTTCGGCTTTATCGAGGAAACCGGACACGACAATACAATGTACTTTTAAGTAACGGCATATTCCGTCAAAAAAAATATATCTGTGATTATAACGACCAAAGGAAAAATAATATATCAGCACCAACAAAACCTGTCAATAGTGTTTATCCGCATGCATCTTTGCAAACCCTGTAATGTTCCGCGGTATTTGGCATATTCATTACGGACATTGTGATATTCGAAACAAGGATATACCAAGCGAAAATCTACGCCAGAGGAGCTATATCATTTATCGGCATAATTCTATTCATTTCATTTTCATACGTCTAAGAAATCAATCATAAATACATATAGGACATTTGTACGTCACGCAAGTATGGAGGACTGATGAAAACTCTAATGGGATAGAGGATAGCCAAGCTAACCAGTTGTAAGGCACGCAGACTTATGTAAACATATGCTCACTTAGTAATAATCAGTATTTCAGAGCAAATTCCACACGTTGTTCTATATTCCTTAATAGTTAATACGCAAAAGAGTGTAATTCATTGTTTCGGTTCCTTTTTGAAGTGATGGGATAGCAAGACGTGACAGTTACAAATTTGGTTCTCCTACGTCACCAGTATGGATGAATGACGTTTATTGTAATGGTACGGAGGAACATCTGGAAAACTGATCATTTAGTGGATGGGCAACTTCGGATTTATGCCACTATACAGCTGCTGTGTTCTGTTATAACGCCACAGGTATGTATTTCCAACCATCAAGTGCTCGTATGTTATTTCAGAAGACTTGACCATCAGTTGCAAAGATGTAATTGTTTTTTTAATGATTCCGAGACAAGGTGTAACACAACGAAATATATTTCCAGTTTCAAGGATGCTTTCGATTACATTTACTTATTCACACTCTCTCATCTACAACACTGCAAACACTGAACGCCTAATATTAAGGGTTTGATAATGCAAATATCTTAACATATTAGCTTCCAGTGACATTGCTGTCAGACTAGATGGCGGACCAGACACCAACGTCGGACGGGTGGAGGTGTTCTATAGTGGTATGTGGGGAGCAGTGTGTGCCGATACCAACTGGGCTGACAAGGATGCAAATGTCACCTGCAGAATACTTGGACACAGGTAAACATATACACGTGCCTGATACAAAGCATCAAGTATACATATACTTTATGAATACAAAAACTTAATTTCAAGCTAAAGCGGGATAAATGAATATGCGCATAAGGTTCAATTATACTAACGGATGACATTAAGAGAAGAATATCAGGAGAATACCGAAATGTTACCAACGCCGTAAATCGAACACGAAATTGATGAACTAGAGCAAAAGGGTAAACAAAAGAATGCTTTACACGGAAGCCCTTGAAAAGTACAAAGACAAGGTGACCATGAAAGGAATTGTCTTCGGCTTTTTCGAGAAAACCGGACACGACAATATAATGGTCTTTCGAGTAACGTGATGTTCCGTCTAATAAATAACTGTTTATGATTATAACGAGCATAGAAAAAGAATATATTGCCACCAACAAAACCTGCCAATAGTGTTTATCCGCATGCTTCGTTTCAAAGCCTGTAGTGACACAAAATACGTACAGCAGCTCAAACAACGATATATTTGTACTATAAACATTGTCAAGCTATGACATCTGTATAAAATCCCGAACTCATGTATTGTAAAACAAAGTTTTAAAGCAAATATCTGTATCAAGATACATATCGTATCGAATATATTGTACTGTGCAAGTAAATGAACAGGGTACGGGATACGGGGTACAGGGTCTGGGTACGGAGTATGTGGTACAGGGTACAGGATACATTATACAGGGAACAGGGTACATGGTACGGGGTAGAGTAGACTGAAACAATTCATTGAATCGTTCAGCTTCGCAAGACTTTGTTGTGTATTGTACTAAAACATTTTGTTTGCCTACATAGGAAAATACACCTACAATTCGGGTATTATCAATCAATACTTAAATAAATTCGATTTGTGAGTTAATTTGTTCTTTTTTAAAACACCAGACACGATGTTATTCACTGTGAAGTGATACAAAATACGTACATGTACAACACCTCGAACAAAGATGTATTTGAACTGTATATACTATTTACATCGTAAAGCTATTCTCTTTAAAATATCTAATGTATTGTGAAGCTAACTTTTAAAGCAGATATGTATACCAGAATATGCTTTTATCAATGAAAAGTGTCAAAAATAAAAAATAGATAACTGATAGCTGTTGGTGACGACAGGCTATGTTGCGATTTTATAATAAAGTCAACAATTGATTTAATGATGCCGTTATATGTTGAATTATTCAATTATATTTCTAACACTGGTCACGTGCCTGAGACTTGGCTCCTGGGAAACATCATCCCTGTTAAAAGAATAACGGTAGGTTGTATGCTGCCCTTAACTGTCGTCCAATTACGTTGGTTAGCTGTCTAGCTAAATGTTTTAAAGCTGTTTTTAATGAACGATTAAATAAATATGCAGATGTAGAACTCATTCTTGAAAATCAAGCAAGGTTTCGACGAAATTATTCACACTCACTTTGTGCATTAATTGAACTATCAAAACGTTTTTAAAAAAACACTATATTGTGCCTTTATGGATTTTGAAAAGGCTTTTAATAGTGTTTGGAATAAAGGTCTTTGGATCAACCTTTTGGTTAACAATATAGATGGAAAATGCTCAGAATTATTACAAATATGTACAATGACATTAAGGCTAGAACGATAAAAGATGGCGTATTCTCAAATGTATTCCCATGCAGTTTTGAGGTCCGGCAAGGCGATAATCTTTCCCCGTTTTTATTTTCATTTATTATTATTGATTTTAAAGATTTTAAAAAATCACGTGACTGTAAAGGTCTGTCTAATATATCCGACCAGCTATAGGAGGAATTAAATGTATATCTGAATCTTTATGTTATGCTATACGCTGATGACACTATACTACTATCAGACACGGTAGAGGATTTACAAAAGCAATTAGATGGATTTTTAAACAAATATTCCAACCTATGGCATCTTAATGTCAATATCAGCAAAACTAAAATCATGGTATTTGGTAGAAAAAGAAATACTGCTGACCTTAATTTTACATACAACGGTACTGTTTTAGGATTAGCTAAGGATTTCATCTTGGTGTTTATTTTACTAAAATTGGTTTGACACAATTTACTATTAAACAACTATTTGCATGTAGAAAAGGTGTAAAAGTAATGTATAGAGCTATTTTCAAATAAAGAGATCATAATATGGCAATAGATTGTCAACTAGATATATTTGACAAAGCCATCAAACCTATTGTTTTCTATGGATGTGAAGTTTGGGGTTGTTTACATCTAAAATTTTGCAAACAAATGCTTAAAGTTAAAATGTCTACCCCGAACTTTATGATATGCGGAGAACTTGGAAGGTTTCCGCTAGATATTAATGTCAAAGTAAGAATGGTCGGATTTTGGGCTAAATTGACAAAAAAAAACCCAGATTAGATTAAGTATTAAAGTTTTATCAAGTTATGAATTATCATGGCTAAAATATGTGGAAAGTATTTTTGAAAAAAGCAGTTTGATACATATATTCATTAGTCAAGAGTTTCCAATGATACATTGGCTAAAGAGTACCATATTTAATAAACTAGAAGGAACATTTATATCAAACTGGAGAAATGAAATGTATACCTCTCCGAGTGGCGGTGAACAATACAACGCTGTGTTGTTGGTCTTGTTCATATTGCATATTTCGCAAATAAGTTATTTTAAGTAGGTTTCGAGCTTTTTGATGTAGCTGTCAAGTGTTATTTTTTGTAGTGAACCATATATATAGTTTATACACAATGGATCCTGGTGAACAAAATCTAACTTTAGATGATTTCATAACACGGAACCTTCCCGCTTTACGTGATTGTTTCACTGCATCGACTAACCTGAGTATTTGTTAAAGCTATATTTGGACCTAAACTATAAGGTGTCAGAGTAATTTTACATGTTTTAGGGGTTTAGATCGACTTTCGGTAAAAATGACACCCCCAATGATCACGGTATAAATGTGATCCTCGGGGTGTCATTTTTACCGAAAATCGATCTAAACCCATAAAACATGTAAAATTACACTGAACACCGTAGTTTAGATCCAAATACAACTGTTACAAATGCTCATATTTGGACAGCCAAATGTACATCGTCACAGAATCGAAAGTGATTGCTGTTGCAAGGAAAGTGGATCAGTAAAATCGGATTACTGTACCTGTACAGTAATACTTATATGAAATAGATATAATCACATATGAAACCGACACAACTGTTAATACCTGTACGTGATTGTGTAATGATTAAATTAAAGCATTAGTTAACGTTCTATTTATCTTTTTGAATGCAAATTAAATGCTAAATAGCGAGTCATACCCTATGGACAATACAAATATGTAAATTGTCTTAAAATATATTAGTTAGCAATGTGAATTATTTTGATTAGTGATAAATAATATAAAGCACTGCTTATCAATATTGTCATGTTCATAACACTTGTCAATAATGTGTTACAGACTGGGGTGTGTTCAAGGTTTTGCTCCTGTAATTATAAGCTTCCAGTCTATTTACAGAACACCAATGGGTCTATATGTTTGAAAAAGAAACGTTCATATTATTGTCAAATATCACAGGGAGAAACAATTAATTGTGACTCTTATGTAAACACATTTTGACATGG